TGGATTTATTTTTTGAAGCATAAGAATGAGGTATTCGACACTTTCAAGAAGTGGAAAGCAATGGTTGAAAACAGAACAGGAAAGAAATTGAAGACACTGTGATCTGATAACGGTACTGAGTATACAGATGGTGCTTTCAAGGAGTTATGTGGTAAGGAAAGCATTGCGAGATACTGGACAGTTAGAAATACACCGCAACAGAATGGGGTCGCGAAAAGACTGAATCGCACATTTCGAGAGAAATCGATGTGTATGCGATCCTATGCTGGTTTGGACAGAGAATGGTGGGCAGAGTCGGTTGCAAATACCTGCTACATAGTGAACCGGTCTCCACATTCAAGGTTAGATGGAGATGTACCTTACAGGGTATTGATAGGAGAACATGCAGATTATGAGAAACTCAGAATATTAGGATGCACAGCCTACTATCACGTCAACGAGGGAAAGTTTGATGCGAGGGCCAAGAAGGCTATATTCTTGGGGTATGTGGCAGGTGTAAAAGGCTATCGCCTATGGTGTGTAGAGGATTCTAAGTTCATAATCAGCAGAGATGTTATTTTTTATGAGAACTCCATGATAGCTTCGTTGAAAGCTATAGTGCCCGATGGTGATGATGTTGAGACTACAAAAGTCTCAAGTTGTTGACATAGAACTTAGAGATCAACCTGGTTCTAGGCATGTTCAAGAGGAGCATCATGCAGACACTCAAGATGAGAGTGATGATGAGCTTGAACAAGAGGCGGTTCAGCAAGAGAATGTACAGGCACAACAACAACAGCAACTTGCAGATAACTTGGCTTCCTCTAGGCCACGCCGTACTTACAAGCAAGTTCTAAAGTTGGGGTCAGACGAGCCTTTGAGGCACTATGGGCAGACAAATTTGGTTGTGTATGCATTCTCGATGGAGGATGATGCGCCTGCCACTTTCAAGAAAGCTATTTTAAACAACAATAGTGAGAGTTGGTTGACAGCGATGGAAGATGAGATGGAATCACTTCACAAGAACCAAACATGGGAGGTTGTCCAATTGCCCATAGGTAAGAAAGCTATTGGTTGCAAGTGATTGTACAAAAAGAAAGAGGATCCTACCAAGCTTGGTGGTACAAGATTCAAAGCAAGGTTAGTGGCTAAGGGGTTTGCACAAAGAGAGGGAGTTGACTACAATGAGATCTTTTCTCCGTTGGTCAAACACACTTCCATTTGGGTGCTATTGAATATTGTTGCTCATCATGATCTTAAGCTGGAACAACTCGATGTCAAAATCGCCTTCTTGCACGGGGACTTTGATGAGGAAATCTATATGCATCAACCTGAGGGCTACAAGGTTGAGGATAAAGAACGTCAGGTATATCGCTTGAGAAAATCACTATATGGATTGAAACAATCTCCTCGGCAATGGTACAAGCGATTTGACTCCTTCGTGCTAAAGCATGGTTTCTCCAGAAGTGAGTATGACTGTTGTGTTTATATTCGAAAACTTCGGGGAGATAACTATATCTATTTTCTTTTGTATGTGGATGACATGCTTATCGCTTCGAAAAGCAAGGTGGAGATAGATAGGTTGAAATCTCAACTTGGTAAAGAGTTTGAGATGAAGGATATGGGGGCTGCTAAGAAAATACTGGGTATGGAGATTAGAAGAGAGAGGACGAACCGGCGAATGTTCTTGAGTCAGAAAGGCTACATTGAGCGGGTTATTACTAGGTTCGGGTTGCAAGATGCAAAGTCGGTGGTGACTCCATTGGCTCCACATTTCAGGCTCTCTGGTAAACAGTCTCCTACTACAGCGGAAGAAAAGGTACGCATGGATCGTGTAACTTATGCTAGTGCAGTTGGCAGTTTGATGTATGCCATGGTGTGTACACGCCCAGATATTTCACAGGCGGTTAGTGTGGTCAGTAGATTCATGGCGAATCCATGGAAGGCACACTGAGAAGCTGTGAAGTGGATCCTGAGGTACTTAAAAGGTACCACGGATACGGGTTTATGTTTTGGTGGAGATGCATGTCATATAAGTGGATTTGTGGACTCGGATTATACAGGTGATCTAGATAGACGACGATCTACTACTGGATATGTGTTTTGCATACATGGTGCCCCAGTTAGTTGGCGATCGATGTTACAGGCTACAGTGGCTCTTTCTACTACAGAGGCCGAGTATATGGCCATGGCAGAGGGAGTGAAGGAAGCGTTGTGGTTGTGGGGTCTTCTAAATGATTTGAGGATTGAGCAGGATTGTGTGGACTTGTGGTGTGATAGCCAGAGTGCGACTCATTTGGCTAAGAATCAGGTTCATCTTGCTCAAACTAAGCATATCGACGTCAGGTATCATTTTGTGCGTGATGTCATAGAGGAAGGTGATATTTCTCTCTTGAAGGTACACACAAATGAGAACCCAGCAGACATGTTAACCAAAGTGGTAACGGGTAGCAAGTTTCAGCATTGCTTGGACTTGCTTCACATTAGTTCGTGTTGATATACCCGAGTGGGCATGGCCCTTCAGGGCGGGGTTGAAATGAGATGGAGAGTATATGAAGGTGGAGGTGAACTACGGAGGCTTGATCCCGAGTTTTGG